TTGTTGTTGGGGGCAATATGCTGACTCTGTAAACCGCTTAGAGAGGGCTGAAAGCCCTATGAAGCGGTATATAAGTCTAATTGCTATTGCTATTTTCTACTGTGGGAAAATGGGAGGGGGGATTATATGGAGTATGGGTGATAGATAGTCAAAGTAACATTCTTTTCTCAGAGAGTCAAGGACACCTTGCCCTGCAGCTGCGATGATGTAACTGGGAGGCATCTCCTGTTTTGAATGGTGCCTGATTGGGTCATGTGATGGACATGTGGGCGCTGGCCAGGGACTTGAACTTTCTTTTGTGTGGGGAGAACTTGGAAACTTTCAGATTCGAGTTTTCCCAGATGTGCCAATATGACACCTCTAATAAAATGGAACTTTGAAGGAACTCAAGCCCCAGAGTCTTCTTTCATTGGGGGTGTTACTTGGAACCCTGACAACAGTTAGAGCTCTCGCTAACAATCTTTTCATCAGAGTGATGTATGTATGTATTTGATTTATATCCCATTTCATTTTCAGTCAGAAGTTCCAAACACTAGAAGCAGCATGCCCTCTTCCCATTTTTCTTCACAACAACCCTTGGAATAGGTTGGGTTGAGAGATAATGATTTTGTCCAAAGTCACCCAGTGAGTCTCTGAGGTTTAGGATAGATAAAATGGCTGCCTTTGTCACAGCAGGTGACTGTACCTGTTTGATTTTAGCTAATGTCAACAAGCTGAGCAGAGTAAGAGCAGATTAGTGCAGTACTACTAGGATACTACCAAGAAATCCAGGGCTTGTAAGATAGATCAGGAAAGAGAACAAACAAGGGAAGTACATGTTTATATAGCCACAAGGAGTCAAACTCAACACTTTACCTTAAACAATGACATATTATAAATGGGGAATTACCTAATTATTCACTGTCAAACAGGCATGGGGCACAGAAACAAGTTGAAGAAAGAAATCAGGTGGATTGGAAATCCAAAAAACATTGTTTATATGTTTACATGAATGCATGACAGATCAAAGTGGAGATGAATTTCCATTGGTGAACAGCTATTCAGACTTTGTTCTACTTATTCATTTATTAGATTTATATGCCACCCATCTCTCCTAGTGGTGATGCTAAGCAACTTACCAGACTTTCTCAAATATAGAATGGATGCAGGGGAATATCATTGCAGGAAAACAAAGCCCTACCAACTCTACTCTTAATCTTTTTTAACAATGAACACTGGATAGAAGACTGTTCAAGGCCCTGGTTAGCATTCCTGAAAGCAGAAATACATTGACTGCAATGCACTGTCTCCATTTTTACCTGACACCATTTCAGCGCCATAGCCCTGCTTGACAAGCGAGAAGACAGTCTTTTGCTGGTGGGCACAATCAATGCATGCCTGAACTGTCTGCTGTAGCACTATGGAAGGTCGTTCAGGTCCAAAATGATCTGGGAGTTGCTGTACTCTCTTTCGCTCAAGGTACGGCCCCACATTCGCTTGCTTGTTGACATAAAGGCAGACTGCAGGGAGTGAAAAAAGTCTTTGTCATTGTCCAAACAGATCTCTAAAGACTTCAAAAAATGTCATTTCCTTTCTGTGTCTCTGATTTGGTTTTGTAAACTGGAAATTCAGGCCTTTGCAGACCCCCACGTATCTGGCATCAGGTTGGGAAAGGCCTCACTGGATAACTATATAAATATAGTTGTCTCAGAGGTGCTTTTTCAAGAGGCAACTTTCTGGACTTTCTGGCTTTTTTTTTGAAGATGTTTCACTCTGAGCTGAAGTTTCTTGGATGAGAAGTGAAATGTCTTCAAAGAAAAACCAGAAAGTCCAGTTGACTCTTTAAAAAGCACCTTTGGGACAAGCATGACTTGGATGATTGAGAATCTTCATACACATATAGAAATTCTTGACTTGTTTCCAGAGAATGGTCTACAATTCTGAAGGATTTCCAATTGAAGCCAGAAATGTAGACATATAGAAGGAGCTGAAAACCCTGGCTCTGCATAACGAAGAAAATCGTGAGTATAAAATGTGAAAGAGAGCAAGAAATCAAAATGGTTAAAATTTGATAAAGTGAAGGTTTTTTAAAAAGAAATGTTAGAATTCCTGAGGAAAAAGGGGGATTGTGACTCTTTTTTCATCCATGTTTCTCTAATTATCCCAGATGTCAGCATACTGAGTCTTCCATTGTATCTTATATTCCATTCAACTTGGGTTTAAACTTTCAATGCAATTTATTACTATAAAATACAAAATTACCTTAATCCAATCTATTATGTAGTTGCACAGATTAATATAGTAGTTTGTAATATCAATATTGGTCTTTTCTAGAACAAAAATGCTAACATTTGATATACCATAACATTTTTTTTAAGAAGGATACTCTACTGTATGCAGATCTATTTAGGACTATGTCTTAAAAGACTGGTCTCAGTCATGTTAAAACAAGACACATTATTATTGCTGGCCACAAAAGTATTAGAGTTGTCATCATTCAGAACATACATCATCATCCTGTTTCCAACAGAAATTAGAGAGGTGACAAAGAAATTATTACATAGCAAAGAAGATAGATGTGCAATGCTGTGGATAATAGACAATTATTATAACCATAATAAAAATGTAGTACTTGAAGTGTTAAACAGCTACTCAGACTGAAAAATAAAAAGTCTCAAAGCATTTTATTCTGAATAAATAGGGGGATAATGGCAATAATAACATCACATAGCTCTGTAAGCCACTAAAAGGCTACATAACAAAGCAGAAGATGTAAACAAAGCAGGAGAACCCATTGTAAGCACAAATGAGGGGCACAGATGGCTTTTCTAAGTTCTGATGATGAATCTATTCATGCAAAAGCACCCATATTTTACTTTCAGCCTGTGGCACAGGGTCTCTTAAATCAGTCAGTACACAAGTTGCTTCTGCGCATCTCTTTTTCTATTATGTACAAACCAAAGGAGCAAATAATACTGAAAACAAAAATAGAGGAAAACATCAGTTTGGAAAGACAGCTGGCAAGTTAATTGATAAGCTGTCTTGGGGCTCTCAGAAGGACAGGGAAGAAAGCTTGCTTAAAAACATGGGATGTAAAACAAGGCTTTCATTTGGGTAGATTTGATTCCACATACCTGTGAGGGCTTGCGGTGCTGCCGAGTTGGGGATTGTAGCCGCATCCTGGGGGATTGAACTGATGTCAGGTTCTGGGGTGCTTCTTGGTGGGGAGATTGCTAAAGGAGTCATTAGAACACGAGATTTCAGCTGGAAGACACAACAGATGTTGGTCATGAAAAAAAACATATCAAATCTATTCTGTTATACCACAACATTGAGATCTTTCAACTCCCAGAAATCTGTGCATGGCATTCTTTCCCTGAGATAGAACATAGAACATCAGAGTTGGAAGGGGTCTTCTAGTCCAACCCCCTGCTCAAACTGGAGACCTTATACCAGTGGTCTTCAACCTTGGCAACTTTAAGACCTGTGGACTTCAACTCCCAGAGTTCCTTAGCCAGCTTTACTGGCTGAGGAACTCTGGGAGTTGAAGTCCACAAGTCTTAAAGTTGCCAAGGTTGGAGACCACTGCCTTATACCATTTCAGACAAATGGCTTCTTAAAAGCCTCCAGTGATGGAGCACCCACAACTTTTTTTTTAATCAAATATGTTTTATTTTCATTTTCATTTTCATTTCATACAGTCACATATATACTGTGCATGACCGGGGCCATATAACATTGAGCAATAAACACAGCCATCCTTGTCAAAAATACTCCCCAAAATACAAACCCAATATACCACTTGGAGCACCCACAACTTTTTTTTTAATCAAATATGTTTTATTTTCATTTTCATTTTCATTTCATACAGTCACATATATACTGTGCATGACCGGGGCCATATAACATTGAGCAATAAACACAGCCATCCTTGTCAAAAATACTCCCCAAAATACAAACCCAATATACCACTTGGAGCACCCACAACTTTTTTTTT